CGTGATCTGGAACATATCACAAAGAAAATAGTTTTCAAATGTGAAAAAGAAATCAAGAGACAAAGTAGAATGAGATGTGACATTTGTCACATACAAGAGTCAACCAGTCTAAATAAAAAGTCAAAAGAAGACCCCCCCCAAAAAAAGCCCCAAAGAAAAGCAGAGAGTCAGAAAAGGGGCAAAAACTAAAACAATGTTTAATTTTTTGTGTCAGTTTGTCCAGGTTATGTTTTCTGAAGTGTCATTTTTTTTCCTCTAGAGAATTCTAATTAATATACCATGGGTAATAGAACTCTATTCATATGTAATATATGACTTGTAATATATTGTTTATTGTTTATATAAAGTTATCACATCATAGAAAGAATAAAATTCAGCTAAATGTGCTTTACAAGAAATACTCATAACTCAAGGGTATAGACTAACCAATAGACAGAAATATTAATAATTTGAAAATTGTATATTTGAATAGATTGTCAACATGTATCTACTCATTTTCAGACTGAATAAGAAAAAACATAAGCTGAGGAAAGGAGAGGATATAGTTATAAGTAAACTAATCACGGATCTCTATGAAAACCTTATGCCAGTTTACCTGAACAGAGGAAAAATATAAAATTATTTAAAAACATAACAAATCTGGCTATAAGAGAAAAGAAAGCTAAAATGATTAGGTATCTTCCCTTAGCTATAGGTGACATCTTAGGTGAGTTCTAGCAACTGAAAGAATAAATTATATGAGTGTGGTAGCTCATGCTTATAATCCCAGCACTCAAGAGGCTGAGGCATGAGAATTACTGTCAGTTTGTGACCAGTGGAGACAACATAATGAGTTTCAGGGCAGTTTGGGCTACAGAGTAACATCCTATTCTAACAACAAAAACAAAACAACAATTAAGGCATAGATAACTAATTTCAATAGTATATGAATTCTACTTTAAATGGAATCAGGGAACCAATACAATTCATATTCGATCTTAAAACCCATAAAGACATTAAAGGATAGGTATGTTTCATCTAACAAAGACATTAAGCAAAATATTAGCGAAGGGGAAATAGTACAGAAAACATGAATGCAGCCTTACAAGGTGACATTCCTCCTAGGAGTACAAAGCTGGATTAATGTTAGAAATCTAATAAATATAACTTTACTAAAATAACAAGGTAAAAGACAGAGTGTAACAGTTTTAGATGAGTGTATGGGTAAAAATTCTGAGTAAATTAGGAATGTGTTGAAATGGTGTCTGTTTAACATATGACATCACACATAAATCTCAACAGTGAGTTGTGAAAGGTATTCATTTGTGGGCAGAGTATCTGTGTGATGTACACATATATGCCCATGTGTGCAGGTGTCATGGCCTTTGTGTGCACATGTAGAGGGCAGAGATTGACTTTGGGTATTTTCTTCTTTTGATCTTACCCTATCTTTAATTTTTTCAAATGCAATATACTTTCATCATACTCTTTCCCTTTTTGTAATTCCTCCCAGATCCTCCCCAACACCCACCCACCCAACTTCATGTTTTTTTCCCCCTTTCTCTGTTTTTGAGACGAGATTCTTTTGCTGAACCTGGAGCTTGCCATTTTTTTTTAGACTGGCTTGTCACTGAGCCCCTAGAATCCACTAGTCTCCTGCTTTCCACAGCACTGGGTTACAGGCTCATGCTGACATGCCTGGTGAGGGGGGACCCTGCATGTGGTCATGGCAGTCAAGGAAGCAAACCTTGAAGAGGTGAGAATGAAAACTGGATTCACATTGACTTCCTCGGCCTGGATCAAGACTGGGAGTGGTTTATTCCCAACAAATTTAAACACAGTATAATTGGAAAAAGAGTTTCCAGGTGTAATACAATCCTTATTGCCCAGGAAGTGCAATTACATCGAAATTCAACTCAGGGTACATGTCATTTCTTCCAAGAGGATGGATTCTAGAGATAGGCTGCCTGTACTAGCTTAAGGGACTAAGGAGGGGTCTGGCCTGGTCTCCATCATACAGATAGCATGGAGGTTATTGAAGCTGTTAGTCTTGGTTGTGGAAGTTTGACATGGCCTGGCCCAACAGATAACACAGATCACCAGGCTATTAATCACTTCCAAGTCCCAGCTTCCTGCATGGAGGAACAGGGTTTCCATCTTTCCCATTGGAAAGACAATCTTGCATGCTTAACATTCCCGGTTACTCCGGAAATTTGTGTGCACAAGGACCTTTGTGCTATGCTCCCAAAAGCTTGGCTTTTCCATGGGTACTGGGGATCCAAACTCAAGTCCTCGTGTTTGCAAATCGAGCTCTTTACACACCTAGCCATCTCTCCAATCCCCAGCATTCACATTAAAATCTGAAAAAGACAAGGACATCAGTTCCTCACTCCTATTCATGGCTAGAAACTGCCTCTGTAGTAAAGACATGAATATAGATTCAATGATGAGGGCTGGACTTTGACAGTTACACAGAAAATATAAGACAATATCAGTAGAAATAAAGTTTAAGGATATATTTAACAAGCAATGTCCAAGATTGGTACAGAGAAAAGTGTTTACACATCGATAAAACTTTATTGAAAGTTGTTAACAGGTAAATAAAATCAGAAATGTATCATTTTGTATGTAGAGCTCTTAGATACTATAAACTGATAACTTCCCTCTGATTTGGACAACAGATTTTCAGCAGCTTTGGTCAAAATTCCTACTGTACATTTTGAGAAATTTGACAAGCTAATTCTCATACTTAAAGCTACTTCAAACATAGCCAAAACCAGACTCAAGTAAACACTAGAATGATTGACATTATCAGATAGCCAAGCATAATGTGATTACAGTCAATTGAGAAATATTTTTTTTGCAGGAAATTACAGATTCAACTAAATAAAGAGAATAAACTCTCTGCAAATGAATGTATATGGGGAATTTTCCGTGACAATGCTGGCCCTGTGAGTAATTAGGAAAGGAGGTAGTGTTGTATATATGTTGATTAGAATTAATAATTTAGGTAGAAAAAAGATAAAATTTTTTTCCAGTCACTGTAAAGAAATAATTGTAAAATTAATGCATATGTATGAAAGGCATAGTTTTTCTTAAAATGCATGGGAGGTTTGCAACCTTGGGTAGTGACACATGTTCTAATAAGATCCAGAAAGCACTAGCCTAATGTTATTGAGAACTCTTTAAGATAAAGTGCAAGGACATAAAATTTGCCTAACAAATAACAAATAGAATTGACCACTTGGTCCCACAGAAATTCTTGTAAGTCAACAAAAGAGTTACTAGTCAGCTTAAAAAAGGAAGAGCTAGAGCCACCTAACTAAGGAAATACAAGGCCTCTTGCTAAAGAGGTAAAAATTACAGCAAGCACACACTTCAAAAGATGTTCAACTTTATTGGTGAGCAGCAGAATGCAAATTAGGAGCTCTTCTATAAAATTCAAATGCAAACCAGAGCAAATAACATATTGCCTGTTTGTAAGGCAAATCAGTGATGGTTACTGACTGCAGCACAACATCCATTTCTAGGAGGGCATGTTTGGGGACAGGAGGAGCAAGCCTGCAGGTAGATTCGGCACTGAAAGGAAAGCAAGTTTGTTTGTGGGTCCAGAATGTTTATTTTGCTATTGTTTTATAATTCACGCACTTGCTGTATGCATTCTTTAGTATGTGTCACACATGACATCAATTTTAAGTCTGTGGCAGAAAGGAAGCCAAGTCAGGATACATCCTTCTCTCTGCTGCCTTGTGCATCCAGTTCTGTCTTTAAGAGCAATCCCTCTAAAAGTGTTGGTGTAAAACACCTTCAGGTGCTGTATCTGTCATAGGGTCCAGGTAGAAAAACGTCCATTCTTCTGGCAGCTGATCAAGTTTCTTTGTGCAACTCTGGCTTTTTGGGTTCTGATCTGTTGGTAGAAGTTGCTTCATTGTTTACTACACAAAGGTAAGCTAAGAAAGGTAAATGAGCGGACGTCACAGAATTATAATCCAAGCATATAAAGATCCGGGTGCTGTACTGTACCCAGCACCATATACACAGAGTATTTAATAAATGCTTCTTGGTGATGGCAATGATGAGGAAAAGCATTCCTTTCTGAGAAGGTGTTGGTTTATGCTGACAGGTGGTTGAAGATGTAAGTGTTCAAGTTTGAGGCATGTGAGTAAAGTCATACTTCACAGTCCGACTGTGAAGGCCCTTCATTTGTCACAGCTGAAAATTTCCCCCGGAGGCTAAGCAAGTGGTTTTGTCCTAAAGGTTATGACTCTTGGTGATGTTCTCTGGGAATTCTGGGGCCGTGGGATAACTCCTTCGCCTGAGGATCCCAGAGTCCTGCTGGCAAGCGATGAGGAAGAGATTGCAGATAGTGTACCATTTGCCTTCCCTTCGCTTTGCAAACTTCTCAAGGGGGCACAGAGGACAAGGAAAGGTGATACTGTGTTTCAAATGAAACCTGAGCTTCCTCAGAACGGCTTACGGAAGGGAAATGGCTCTTGAAGTACGTCTGACTTCAGAGCAGTGCATCCGAAGCCTACTGCGATGGGTGAGGCTACCTGCCACTCTAGCCAAGGACCAGTGCTCTGCCTAGAAGGCAGGCTGTGGATGGGAAAAAAGACAAACTCTCCCCAAGGGGCAGCTGTGTCTGTTTGAACTGAACAAGCAGAGGTGCTGATCCCCAAGGCTCTTTACCCAAAGAGGGGGTGGACATTGTAGATATGTTCAAATTATCGTCAGGCTTGAACTGTTAGAGTTTCCTGGTTTGGGATTTCTCCCTGTCTCTCCTTCATTGTCTTTCCTATACATAGAGGAAGTTGGTTCCAACAGGCTCCTGCTTCTGTCAGTCAGTGGTTCCACCTGAGTCCCACCTCTCTGTGGCCAGAGTCCCCTGCAGGAACATCAAAAGCATCACAGCATCTCTCCTTTGGTGACTTTGTGTCAGTTTTTTTTTTTTTTTTGTATGTTTGTGTGTGAGCAACATATTTGGCAACAAATTTTGCTCCACTTTCAGATTTCGATTGCTACTGAGACTCAGTCAAAAAGACAGCTGCAATAAAATGAACCAGATAGCAGAAATATGCCAATTGTAAGAACAAGTCGAGCTGAAAGCCTGGTGCTGAGCCAACCTGTCAGCAGAGTGAAGAAGAAACCCGTCAACTGTCAAGGAGTGCATCTCCCCAGGCAACACCAACTATGCTCAGAGGTAGGCTCCACACACCATAGAGCTCCGAAACAGCAGCTACGGAGTGATTTCTGGTTCAGATTCCAGCTCTAACTACTTCCTAGTGCTGTACGCCTGATCAGGGGTTCAAATCATCTCTGAGCCTGTTTGCTTCCCTGAATCTGTAAAATGAGTGTAAGTACATAATTGAATTATTATGGAGTTTAAAATAAAATGTATGTGTAATATCCTTATGAGAGCACATGGCATACAATATCTCATATCTATCAATCATCTATCTATCTATCTATCTATCTATCTATCTATCTATCTATCATCTATCTATCTACCTACCTACCTACCAATCTGTCTGCCATCTATCTGCCTATCTGTCTATCATCTAATTATCATTCATCTGTCATCTCTGATCTGTCATCTGTATGTGATAATCTATGTTTATTCATCCCTCTATTCGTGTACGGGGTATCATTCCTCCTATGATATAATTCGTCTATTCTTTCTTCGTTTTAGATGATTTTGGTGCTTTTTGCATGAGGTTATACATGTTGAAAGGCAGGGACTCTGGTTCTCTTTTGTTCTTGAAAAGCACTGTTTTCAAGGCTAGTAGTATTCGATATGATTTTATTTGTTGGTTCTTTGCACCCATGGGCTTGGCTTCCTCGTTACTCTTACCTTCTCAGAACACTTCTTCGTTAGGCCTTGCTTTCGTTTTATCTTTATTGTTGCAGAAAATAGTCTCCTTGTCTGGGCCGCGCCCCCAGCTACTCATTCATAGGCAGGAGCCTCCACCGGTTGTTCTGTGGTAGCAAGCACTGGTGACTACTCTGCCTTGCATACCATCGGCCCCACCGATGTCTGACCCAGAAGAAAGGGTAAGTAGAAATGTGCTCATCTACTCCAGTTGCTGGGCAATCAGAACTGCTGCTCAGAGTGACCTCTCAGCAACGTGTGGGAACACCCCTCCCTGTCAGGAATGGGAAATCATTTAACAAGGGTCATAGACTGTTCAGTCTACAGAGGTGGCTGTCATTCAATAAGGAAAAGGTGAGAACACAGTCCTTGCTCTCGGAGGGAGCTCTGCATTCCTAGAAGGCACAGGAAACCATTGTGCTGATCTCAGGTGCACTATGACAGAACCAGACTCAATGAGGTCCTGTAGGCCAGTGCTTCTCAACCTTTGAGTTGCGACCTCCACAGAAGATCATATATCAGACACACAACCCAAATTACACTTATGAAGTAGCAACAAAATAATTCTATTTTATTAAAGAGTGGCAGCATTAGGAAGGTTGAGAACCCTGTTCTAGGCACTGGTATCTTGTTGTCCCCCATGCCTCTACTCTGATTTCCAGGAGTGTTGCTGTGGAAGCTACTAGCTAACTAGAGCATGCTGAGATCCTCCATTGTTATCTGAACCCACACTTCCAGAGGAGGCTCTGTCCTCTCAGTCTGTGTGATACTCCTACTCAAGCCTTTGGAGCTGTCCAACAGGTACATATCTTCCACATCCCATGTAAACTCCTTCAGACAGGCATTCCAATTTCATAGAAAAGAGAACCAACAGCCAACATCAGTCTTAACTCCTCATCTTTCCCACTTTAGAGCTTTTATTTTTCTTAGTAAGCTGGGATGCCTTCCTTCCAAAATGTAGAAATTCAATGTTTATTAGAACAATCAGTTTACACTGCCAATCCTCCATTTCCTTAGCACTCTTCTTGAGGTTTGAGCTTTAGGAGGGTAATGGTTGGGGTTCCATATGAGAAAAATATAACAGGTATTTTGGAAAGGCCAAAGCTGAAAGCTTAGTAAAAGAAGCAATGGTATATTTAGAAAGAAAATCCAAAGGAGAGAGGCAGGAAGGGTCCATCCACACTGTTGCCAGATGCTGTGGTCTACAAATTCTGCTACACTCTTTCTTCCATGTAGTCCTCTCTGATTCCTAGTAGATGACAATTTATGACACACAGTGATTTTTCAGATACACCTAAGGCCTTATGTGTAAGATGAACATTAGATTAATGAATGAGAAGAGACTGATGGCTTTTCAACAAAGCCCTAAGCATATATTTTGATTCTTAAGTTCAAAGACAGTGGAGCAAATACTTGGGTCTGTTGGTTGGCCTCTTGGAAACAATTCTTTCTAGTGTTTAGTACCAAGTATTATGAAGATAAGTAACATTAAAATAAATACAATAAACCATGCCAAAAGGCAAAGCACAAGACTGTTCTGATTAAACATATGCATTTTCATATGTATGCATTTTCATTCTTATAAGAAAGGAAAAATTATATGAATGCCTCAACCGAGATTTTTAAACAGCTTTAAAAGTTTTATCAGTAGTGATATATCAGAATAGATCAAAATTTTATGCTCAACTGTTGCTAAATTTTATTACAAATGGTTGTATTGTATTTCAGGAAAGGGCATTTTATCCTGTTTAGAATTGATGTGAGTCAACTTTTCTCTTTGTCTGCCTTAAGGTGATGGCTATTGAGCTGATTTAGTTCCCTGGTTTGTTAAGATGTCTCCCACAAAGGGCACCCCTTTTAAGGTCTTAGTAGAGTCAGCTTTTGGGAAATGCACCAGTGAGTTTTGTTTTTTCTTGTTCTACCTGGTCGTGTAGACACAACTTTGGTTTCTAGTTGAACTTGGCAGCCATATGGAGTTGGAGGCTCTATAGAAAGCATTCATATTGGCAGCTCTGACCACATAGTTGAGACTAATATTACAGTGAATAACTACACTCTGGGCAAAATGAATCAGGAAGAATGGCTGGAATCTGAATTTTCAGACATGCTCCCACCTACCACCAATTTAAAACATTTTCCTGAAGAAACCCACTGTTTATGATTAGTCTTCTAGAGTATTAATTCAGTTTTTGTTCATATTTTTACAAGGCTTTTATTAAGGCTATTGTGTACACACACACACACACACACACACACACACACACACACACACACACACACACACACACTGACTCTGTGTTCTCATCTACTCCTTACATTCTACTCGCTTTCAAATCTACTGCTGTTTTCACTTTGTTCTCCATCTTCTTGTATAAAGAAAACAACCTAAACCACCATCCAGTTTCATCTTGCATGAGAGAAGTGGTTTTGAATGAAGTAAATAAAGCAATGAGAAGTGAGGAGGCTCAAAGCGTTGACTTTGGAATGAAAGTATGATAGTAGATTTAATGCATGTTATTCAACTCTGTGGATACATTGAAGTCAACCATGCCATTCAGGCTGTTTGTGTAGTCAGATCTAATCAGGAAACTGAGCCTCACAAAACCAAACTTAGCAAGCAGCTACATTCTGATGTCTTCTTTAGATATTATAACTTTGTAGAAGGTATAGAATATTTTTTGTCGGGGGCTGTTTTCAACACAGACATCTGATTTTTTTTCTAAAAGGTAAGAACATGCATTCTGAGTTATGTATCACATATGTGTATAGCATGTACTTTTTCCCGTAGATAGCTACTCAGATGTTTTCAGATGTACCTAACTTTAGGCAAGGAGGTCAAACTGGGACTCTCTTTGCATTGCAATCTGGTTAGTCAGCTGTGGGCTTATGGGATCGTTGTGATATATACCTGGAGTCATGGCTGGTAGACTCCTGATGTTTCAACATGGACTGTGGGATGTGATCTGGGCATTGTCACTGCCAGTGCAGCACTGCAGACTGTACCACGTGAGAAAAGGGAAGATCTGTGTGGTCTAGTTGACCCAGTACCACCCATGTAAAGGCATCCATTCAAAGTATCAACTGCCGTGGCTGAAGGTGGTATTTGAATGGACAAGAATAGGTGGGCCATGTTAACTTTGGAGCTGCCTCAGTTATGGTTTCTATTGCTGTGATAAGACACTGTAACCAAGAACAACCTGAGAAGGAAATGGTTCATTTCATCTTCAAACTCCCAGGTCACTGTCCATCACTAAGGGAAATTGCTGTAGGCACTCAAGGCAGGAGCCAAAAGCAGGAACTGAAACAGGAGCCAAGGCAAGGTGCTGCTTACTGGCTTGTTCCCCAAGACTTGCTCAGCCTGTTTTCTTAGACAATTCAGGACCATGTGTCCAGGGTTGGCATTACCCAGCGCGGGCTTGGCCCTCCCACATCTATCGTTAATGAAGAAAATGCAGATAAATGTGTATAGGCCAATCTCATGGAGGTATTTTTTCATTTGAGTCCCTCTTCTCAAATGACTCTAGCTAGTATCAAGCTGACACAGAACTAACCAACACAAGGCTATCTGTAAGACTATTTGCTCTAAAATCTGCCTAACAGTTTATTGCTATATCATCTTGAACATAAACAACTTTGTCTAAAATTTACAGACTAATTAATTATTGCTTTGGTCATCAACATTTATTCTTCATTTTGGATCATGGCTATAGATAGTTAAAATAGATGTTTAAGTGTTAAAATTTGTTATAAAATACCAATAAATAATCTAATTAAAAATAACAAAATAAAGTGATAATTACATATAGCTGAGTAAATCCATTGACTATTTTGTGGTCATATGAACTCAGGCTATAATCAACACACCAGGAATCTGAAACTCAACTGCTTATAGCATTAAGCAGGTAAGTAAATTAAGTAGGCCAAGTGGGCCATACAAAGTGACATATCATTCAATTCTGGCAGTCATAGTAATACATAAGCATTTGGGCTTAGATTGGCCAAGTCTTCTGCCTTTCATAGGGTAGTGCCTAGGCCCTGTGTACCATACTCTTTACCCATTGATGTTGTATGCCTTACACTTAGGCTTTGAGTTTTTGTTTGAATCTTGCCTGTTCTGGAAAACATTTCTTAATTACCATGACAAAATTAGACTGTTTCATACTCTTAGCGTGCTGTACAACCTCCCAATACTGTTTCCACTTCACTCATGCTGTACTGATTGTGTGCTAGGTCATCAGCTCACCTGATATACAGTGTCTACTCAAGGATAATGACATTCACAGAGCACAGTTCCTGGTTCCGGGAGATATCAAACAGTGCTGAACTGGTTAAAGAGGGATATGGATACAGGAAAACTATCTGGAAAGCTCTTAAGTACTTAGAGTTGATTTCATACTTTAGCAAATTATAGAGACAGTGAACAAGGATGAAGAATCTTGACAGAGTTTTCCATGATCATTCCTTAGCAGCATCTTAAGTGTTCTAGTTCTATTCCCACATAATATATCATTCATCCATATTTTAAATCTAATCCCCTTTCCTACCAAGTCGTAGCCTATTAAATACTACATTATATTCTGAATGCTATTGCCTTACCAGTCTTTGAATGCAGAGATTTTAGCACAGTACTTACAACATAGCTCAATGCATGCACTTATGAAAGAACCAATGGGTGAGTGGTTTGTACATTTGTCAGACTGCTCTCTGTCTGGGGCAGCTAACCTGCAGCAATTCTACAAGGGGATGTGATCCTTGGTGGGCAACTGGAAAAAACAACCTCCAGAGTAGGAGAAAGTGGGAATTGAAGATTCTACACATAAAAATGGTTCACTTCATCATGTTCTTAGAGTTTAGACTTGACTTGGAGGCAAACTTAAACTCAGAGAAAGGGAGGAAGAAACAGACCAAAACCTAACACTATAGCTAATATTTTTGTTGGCTATTTAAGTTTATAGATTTGAATTTTTTAGAATCAGAATATATTCTTTGTCATGAATGATGCAAATCTCTAAGCAAGATAGAGGTTAACTGTCGTTGCTCTGTGTCAGCTGCCTTACTGTAGGATAGGCAGGACGATACCAGTACGCAACCTTTTGCAAGCTCCCTTTGATGTCCCTGGTGTGGAAAGGATATCAGACCAGTAGATGAAAGCATTGTCTACCCAGTCTCTAATTGGATGATGTGAGTATGCTATCCTGCTTCAGAACTGAGTTAACACAACACAGAATGTGTTTTCCTCGGAGGAGAAGCAGTTTACTGGTGTGTAGCAGACGGTTCTTGCTCTTTAGTGTGAATCATAAGCAGATAGTTCTCAAGTCACATCATGCCCATGATGAAAAATGTTATTGGATTTCTCAGTCTTGGGTGGTGGTGTGGGGAGTAGCCTTCAGCCACAGGGCACAAAAATATCATCTATTTCTGCTGCTTGGGTGATGGGTTGGTATTACTCACTGCTATTAAGAGTAGTAATTACAACATAATATTGTCCTCTTTGTGTCCTAAAACAGAATCCTGTGAGTAAAAGAATGGGGACTTAATGATTTTCTGTTTCCAGTCTGTCTGGATTTTCATGGTTTTAAGCACCAGGAAGAAGAATTTGGCTAAAGCAGAGTAATAAGACGTAAGGGCAGAGGCTGAGCTGCATTCTTCTCCGGTTCTCTGTAGACACAAATGCGCTTCTGTGTGACTGCTTATGGGAAACGCAATCAACATCTGTAGATCACCACAAAGCTCTGGTTTGGGCCACTTTGGGGAATAATCTTATGAACTTGAATTTATATGTTCTTTGACCTATTGCAACACTAGGGTATCAACAACAGTCGAAGGAAAGAATCGAAAGCCAAGACATACTTGTATAATTGAATCAGGCTTTGTCTCATTGTTACTCAGGTTTTACAACATTTTCTTATCTGAGATCCCCTTTATTTATTCTTTCACAGATCTCATGTATGGGGTTGAGTTAAAGTCAGTGTCTTCTTCATATATAGAGGAATTAAACAATAAAAACGTTAAGTGACTTGTCCTGAGTCCTCCATGTAGTTACTGGCATAATCAGGAGGGCATGGTTGCCATTCAGATGCACAACTGGGTTGGAAGTTAAAAGTTTCAAGTGTAGAGAAATTGTTCCTTTGAATACCAGATTCCAGCAGCAGCAGCCTCCAGACGTGTTTTCTGACCACTAGAGGAAGGAAGCATGTCCCGCTCCCCCCATACAAGTGTCAATGCCCTGTGTTGCTTCATGTGGTGATGACAGTGTCAACATACTGATAAATGTGGCTAACGGTGGGTACCTCATGAAGTCAATCTTCAGAAGACTGGGTGTTAGCCCAAAGGGTGTAAAGATGAAAGAAATCCAAACTTCTCCCTTACCACTTGTCTAGGTCAAATCACCTATGTAGGAACAACCATGAGTGCTCTCACTGAGGCCCCATTATTTTGTGTAATCATCCAGATGACTTCCCACATATTGTTCATAAGAATTGTTGACCACTTGAACCAATAAGCCAGTATTGTCTCCATAGCTTTGTTGTGTTACCAGAGAAGACGCTTCTTTACAGAGGTAAGCTGCTTCCTGTTACACAGGGTATCTACTCATTGAACATTTGATGTAAATATCACATTGTAAACTGCAGTTGTTTATCTTGATACATGGCATCTCTCTTCTTATTGGTAGTTAAGTGTCCTTAATCCCCTGGTTCCCCAGATAGACTATTGACTTTTTAATATGCCTCTTAGAAGCTCCCCATGTAGATTTCATCAATTTATACAGCCTCAGTTCAAGTGGTTGCTTAAATGTGAACTCCAAATTGAGTGAAAATCCACTTGATGTGAGGTGTGTGCATGTGTGTTGCTAGAGTTTTCCTGCCTGGCCCACAGTCAGGACAAATCTCTCTCACCCGCCAGTCCCAAGCCACTTAAACCCGATCAAATAAACACAGAGACTTATATTGGTTACAAACTGTATGGCCATGGCAGGCTTCTTGCTAACTGTTCTTACAGCTTAAATTAATCCATTTCTATTAATCTATACCTTGCCATGTGGCTTGTGGCTTACTGGCACTTTACATCTTCCTTATCCTGATGGTGGCTGGCAGTGTCTCCCCCACCCAGCTTCCTGTTCTCTCCATTCTCCTCTCTGTTAGTCCCGCCTATACTTCCTGCCTGGCCACTGCCAATCAGTGATTTATTCATTGACCAATCAGCAACACATTTGACATACAGACCATCCCACAGCACGTCCCCTTTTCTTTTCTTAAAAAGGAAGGTTTTAACCTTTATACATCTCCAAAGTCAGCTTGGTATATTTGGGAATTTGGGCGTAGCTTCTCTTACTACTTCCTGCTGGAGGGGGGCGCTGTATCTTCTGGGGAAACAAAGAAAATTTTAGGATCATGGAGTAGTCCGTGAAGCTGTATCATCTGAGCCAGTTGCCTTGAAACGGTTCTGGATGTTGGATCATCTGGGCCATGGTGTCATCGGAGACCTTTCAGGTGGTCTTGGCTGGTCAAACCTGATGTGTCTTAATCTGGAACAAATCCATAGCCTCTGGCTTTCTGTGGAAACAAAAGCAGAGTCTCCTTTCCAAAGTAACATATCCTTATATCCAAATTTTGAAGTCAAGGTACCTTTAAAATATGCATATTGGTTTAACTCAGCTTCCTTTACAATCAAATATCTCTCTGTAGTTAAGAATCTCAAAGACAACACAATCCAGATTCTCTGTGTGATATCCATCTTTACAGGGCTTATTTTTTATATTAATTTTACTGTCTCTTTAAAGACTTTATTTTTTAAAACTATGTGTTTGTTTCTGTAACTGTATATATCACCTTTTTAATCTCTTTCAAGCCTACGTATATTTTACACACATTTTAAACTATTACATCTGAATCTGTCTTATTGTGAATCTATTGCCTTAAACTGCAGCAGCTGTGGCTGCTGGCTCCGCCCACCTCAGCTTCCCAACATGGCGGCGGTATGCTTACCGCCAGCTCTGGGAGCCATCATGGGTCTATGCTTTTATCCAAGCAGCATGTAGCCCAGAAGCCTCTTTTTTTTGTTTTGTACTAGCAAAGGCTAAATCCACCAAGCAGCTTAATGTGCCACTTGCAGAGGCCTCATTCCCACCATACCGCAGGTCGAGCGCGCACACTAGGAACCCACCAGTAGCTCAAACTGGCAGCTGCCGCTCATTTGAGAGAGACAATTAGGAACTGTTTTTAGCTCCGTTTTAGAATCTTTTCTCAGTTTTTAGGTGGAAACTCTTGCCCCACGTTGGGCGCCATTTGTTGCTAGAGTTTTCCTGCCTGGCCCACAGTCAGGACAAATCTCTCTCACCCGCCAGTCCCAAGCCACTTAAACCCGATCAAATAAACACAGAGACTTATATTGGTTACAAACTGTATGGCCATGGCAGGCTTCTTGCTAACTGTTCTTACAGCTTAAATTAATCCATTTCTATTAATCTATACCTTGCCATGTGGCTTGTGGCTTACTGGCACTTTACATCTTCCTTATCCTGATGGTGGCTGGCAGTGTCTCCCCCACCCAGCTTCCTGTTCTCTCAATTCTCCTCTCTGTTACTCCCGCCTATACTTCCTGCCTGGCCACTGCCAATCAGTGATTTATTCATTGACCAATCAACAACACATTTGACATACAGACCATCCCACAGCACATGTGTGTTGCTGGGGGTCTGATTTTATTTATATAAATCATAAAACTATCATATCTAAATAATGACAATGGCTTGCTTCTGTAGACTCTGGATGAATTTATCTATTTTGTTGATCAGATTCTATCTACTTATCTGGACTCACTTTTTTGAAATCCTAAAGTAGGTTTTGAAATTAGGATATGAAGCTGGGCGGTGGTGGCACACGCCTTTAATTCCAGCACTTGGGAGGCAGAGGCAGGCGAATCTCTGTGAGTTTGAGGCCAGCCTGGTCTACAAAGTGAGTTCCAGGACAGGCTCCAAAGCTACAGAGAAACCCTATCTCGAAAAACAAACAAACAAAAAAAAAAAAAAAGAAAAGAAAGGAAAAAAAGAAATTAGGATATGGCCCCCTAAATAAATACTTCTCAAACTGGGATCTGACAAATTCTGGGCTATCTAATGACCATTCCGCCCACCCCCACCCCAGCATCTGAATTCTCCACAATAGTTTTTCAGACTTTGTGTTTGTATTTTAACTATAATCTGAAACTGTAAATGTGTAGTAGCTATTTATTGTTCACTATCCGGTATGTTTTTATCTGATTTTTCTTCATAACAGCACCGCAAGTTCCTTCGGAAGCCGCCTTTCTCCCTGTGCAAGCACAAAGCCTGTGTGGGATGGCCTCCAGCCATGGCTCTGGGTGGCACCTCCAATGATGTTTACACTGGCCTAAGAGAGGAGCCTGTAACCTATCCAGGGCCCCTGCAGGGTGACAGGCAGGGTTTCTTTAACTTATAACCCAGCTGAAGTTAGGTTTTCCTTTATTTGCAGCTAAAAGGAATCCTGAAAGGTACCTAGATCATTAGGATGAATTTAGTGCCTGTGTTTGTACAAATACTGCCAGTGTCTTTCTTGCCAAGTGGTACAACTTTAATTATCTCAAGATAATAAGAAAATAATAGAGGCAGATTTAATATGTAAATGATGCACATTTTATGAAGGAAGGTTTCTTGCTAATTCCACAGAGAGAAGTGAGTCTTCAGATGATGTCTACACTTTTAAGCCTGCAGAAGGAAAGGACCCATTACGGTCATGGATGCAGAACGCACATTGCAAGCAGCGATTAGTGTGCTTCCCAGCAACGCACCTCCATCCATCACATCGGATTAAGATTGCTAATTAAAAACTTATTGGCTTGGAGTTTTGTTTGTATTTAATTTAGAACTTTTTAGTTGTTGGAGAGCTAGATACATAAGGGTTTTTATAACTATAAGTTAGGGTTGTACAGGTTTGAATGCCATTAAAATAACATTAATGCCAGGGCTCCCGAGGGAAATGTGCTTTTTCATTACAGAGAATCTGTTCATTTCTTGAGTTTTAGAAGTGTTGTCATAAATGGCAAATAGTACATTTATGTTAAAAAAGACAGACTACGAGATTGGATAAACATCCTCCCGTCTGGAACATCACTGAATTCTACCAAATTACATAAAAACAGACTTCTAAAACTCCAGTCCTCCAAAAGGAGTGTCTGTCTTCTAAGGAGGGCAAAGTATTTTGCAGACATAACTGCTCTTCTCAGTTCACTTGTGTGTGAGTTCATCGAGCAAGCTCCTACATCACATATCAAAACGAGGCAAAGCTCTGCAAGTCCAGGCCCATCAGTGGCAGGAGCAGACCACATTGCTTGTCTCTTGCAAATTTGCCATACTTGCAGAGAAAACCCAAGAGTCAGGTGAGGGCATTTGTGTAATGAGATGGGGTCCAAGGGTGATGACTCCCTTTTCTTAATGGCTTATTTCTTACTGGGTGAGTCCTCAGATCTCAGTGTCTCATCAACTTTGAATTCGCAAGTTGTCCCATGAAACATACTTCACTTTGATTTCCTGTTATACCATCTCACAAAGGAGGCATTCTTTTTCTAGAAGGAGTCTTTGGATATATATATATATCTCCATGTATATATGTATGTATGTATAATCACTGTCAGTCTGTGTTTACCTGTTGTCAAGAGTAAATTCAGTTCAGTTCTTGTGAGCTCTAGAGAAGTCTTTCAAATTCCTATGACCTGTCCAGCATCATGTGGCACACAGAGAATCACAAAGGAGACTAACTCATGGTCTTATCCTTCAAGATGTTTTCTTTATATGGAGAATGAGGATTTCAATGTGATAGAATAATCTAGTGGCAAAGATAATCACAAAACGCAGTGAGAAGTTGTTTGCCTACTATCCAACAATTCACTGGGGATGGTGATGGTGAAACTATTTCAGTCCTACTTGGTTTTCACTACAGCACACTCAGAGTTATTTGACTAAATATTTTGGCTTTTCGGCTGGCTTTTCACTGGCATTTCCTTAGATGTACTAAGCAGTCTAGAGAAATGGACTTTTGCAATTAAAGAGTGATATTGAGTCTGCTGTGCTGAGGGATGTATGCAGATTGTTGCTGAGTCTTGATTCTTATATTTTAAAATAGTTAGCAATATTTGGGCCCAGTTTAACTTCCTGTTTAAGGGAACATTCTTGACAATACAACTGCAACTTTTTTTTCACACCTGCATACAATGGAAAGTACTTTCTCACCAACCACACTAGAATATCATTTTCCTGATGTTCCCTGACAGATTGAAGACAGCCTGCACTGGAAGTAACCATCTCCCTCCAGACTACCTTGCTCACCAGTTCTCAGTGAATTTTAAATCCTCAGACATAACAGAAATACCATGGGAATGAGGCGGTTGTCTTCGTTGGAACCATTCAGAGGAGAGAAGGGCTGGGGTGAGAGAGTGGATGATGTGGTTCTGAATCAAAGTAGAGACTGCAGCCTTCAGGATAATGTGCATTTTCCCAGAAGCACCATAGAAAGAGGACTGTAGCTTCAGACCTGAAGTTTTCTCTGTTTTGCTTGGCTTCATAATTCGGGCCAATATGTCTGGGCTGTCAAGAACCACACATGCTCTTTATTTAAAGCCTTTCCATTTTTACCCATTGGCTTTCTTTCCAGACAAAGCCCTTCTTGTGCTGCTACCACCGATTCCTTCCATTTCTTACTTGGGAAAAAAGCACCTTGAAAGTTGCTTTGGCTTTCTTTCTATTGACGTGGTAAACACCATGACCGAAAGCAACTTGGGGAAGAAAGGCTTTATTTGGCTTACAATGTCTCCATCACAGTCTGTCACTGAGGGAAGTCAGGACAGTAACTCAAGGCAAGAAATTGGAGACAGGATATGAAACAGAAGCCATGGAGTCATACTTCTTTCTGTCTTGCTCCCCATGGTCTGTTCAGTCTGTTTCCTTATACCACCTGCCCAGAGGTAATACTACCCATAGTGGGCTGGGATCTCCCATATCAATTGTTAATCAAGAAAATGTCCCATGGGCTGTCCTACACGGCAATCTGATGGGGGCATCTACTCAACTGATATTCTCACTTTCAAGATAACTCTAGCTTGTGTAAAATTGACAATAAACTAACAAGCACATAAGTTATTCCATATAATGTGAACAGCATGTGCCTGAGAAAGTGTTTCATAAATTAAGGATTTTTACTTCATTGGTCAAGAATATTTCTCATTAGCTGTCCCTCCATGAGAGAACTTACCCTTTTGGAGGAGGGGATGAGGGGTGTGTGGCTGGAGGGAGAAGAAGGGGGAGGAGTGGGAGGAGGGATGAGAGGGGGATCTGTGGTTGGTATGTAAAATGAATAAAAAAATTTCTCTTTGAGGTCCCATCTAATAGCACATTGAAATTTGGCTGGGTACTAAATTTATTGAGAAGTTAAGCAAAAGTGCAATCTAATGAAGATTTAATTTTAAAAGGAAATAATAAAATCTAAGGAACCTATTGAAATACTCACTAATTATTTCTCTGATAAACTTTATGCACTGGGATGAAAAATTGTGGAGGACATCACATGCGCATCCATTTGAATACTGAGAGTATATTGCATGTTTCCGTAAGTAATGCTTAAAGCATTTTCATAGCAATAGATCCATGCTTACATACTCTTTGGAAAAAGACATAAAATACTACATACTTTGAGAGAACAGCCCACTTGAGCATAGTTACTTGCAACTTGACTATATTCATCTATTGCCAGCATTTATCAATTTTGCCATGGGGGATTCAGAGCCATTCAGTCTAAAGTAAATGTTCTGAATTCAAAGTTTCAAAAATATAATTGGTAACAAATATTGCATAAATAATAAGGGAGGTATAGAGAGGTGGTATAGAGGTATTAGGAAAAGTTTGTTGACTTCTGTCTTTGTAGGACGGTACAACCACTATTGGAAGCTCTGAGATATCTTCTTCCCCTCCAAAAATGATTGCTGTACATATTTCTTCACTTGCTCCATACTCTTTCTTTCTTTGTTTGTTTTCATTTCTTTTTTTTTTTTTTTTTGAGACAGGGTTTCACTATTTAGCTCTGGCTGGCCTAGAACTTGCTCTGTAGACCAAGCTTATCCAAAACTCACCGAGATCAGCCTGCCTCTGCCTCCTGAGTAAAAGGACTAAAGGTGTGCACCAACCTTACCCTATTCTTTAGAGATGTTCAAGTGAGAATTAAACAGATTCAGAAAATGTTGAACTGCCAAGACTAGAAACCATGACTCCAGGTTGAGTACCTTTTCTACAAGACAGGAGTTTCCTGAGGGTCACAATTTGATTGAGAGGATGAATGTGGCAAAAAAGTCATTGAATTATAGGGAGAAATTGTTAGAAATGTTCACTTTCTTCTTTGAAATGTCCAAATACATAAAGGAGAAAGTCCCTGTTCAGTCCCTGTCTTTAAAACCTATCTAATATTGGTATATCTTCCCTTTCAACAAATGCCAGATGAGACACAGATTACAATACATTAATTTCATTTCACATTTACTTTATATTTATGTTATCATAAAATGATTTTTTTAACCAGGTAATACATATGAATGGTCTATCAAATTAAAAAATACAAAGAGGTATTTCTTTATCTTTACTCCACCCATTTTTAACAAAGGTAATTATAATTATGGTAGTAGTTTTATTGGCATTTCTAGAGACATATTATACTCATAGAAAAATGTATGTATATGTGTGTGCATTAGTACAGATATTTAAAAATCGTGAACGTTAATATTTTAGTGTGATGGTTAGCTTTGCCAACTTGACATTCCTAAAATCATCTGGGAAAGAGTCTCATGGGCTTCTTTTTAAAATGTGGGTTGGACTGTCTGTAGTCGGGGAAATGTATTCATTCAATTATTTAATGTGAGAAGACCCAGGCCACTGTAGGCACACAGGCACAGTCCCTAGGCAGGGAGCTCTGACCTCAGGGAGAAGAAATAGAGCTGAGTCCAAGCAAGCAAGCATGCACGCATTCATTTTTCTCTGATCTTGACTGGATATGATGTGACTAATTGTCTGAAGTTCTTGCCTTGACTTCTCAACAGTGATGGACAGTAACTTAGAATTGTAAGCTGAAATAAAGCCCTTTCTCTCCAAAGTTTCTTTTGCCACAGTATTTTATCACAGAAACGAAACTAGAACAATTGTTCATGCTGTTCAGTACAGAACTTCTTTCCTATTAAATACAGTTGTGGAGATCCCGGAGATGACAAGGGCTTTGAAACTGCTTTGCGTGCCCAGCTGACTATTTTACATCACCTTTGTCCTCTTCTCTGTAAGGGAAAACCAGGCATGTTACTGAAAAATGAATCAAGAGTGATTAGGTCACAAGACCTGTGTCTAATCATCTGACTTGTCTCCACATGTCCCCCCCTTTCTCTTTGTTTTGTCTTTTCCCCTGAAGTTTTTTTTCTTCTTAAAATATGTTTTTAATTGAAATAGAATTACATCACTCTCCCCCTCCTTTTCCTCCACCCATCCTCTCTCAGCTACCCTCCCTTAAACCTCTCCCATGTCTCCCCCTCACCTTTCAAGTTGACAGACTCTTTTTCTTTGGTTATTATTGTTATATACCTATATGTATACATATCTGTCTGTATGCACTTATGTATAAATACAGCCTGTTGAATTCATCCTTGGTGGTGGTATAAGATTTCAAGGATGACCACTCTGCATTAGACAATCAATAAAGGATAATCATTCCTGGGAAAAGGGAATTCTCCTTCTCCCAGCAGTCATTAGTTGCCTGTGGTTCTTGGTCTAGGTGGGGACCCCAAGAAATATTCTCCCTTCCA